ATAAAATGCTTTTATTTTATTATATGCTTTCAACAGAATCTTGGATCTACAATTTGATACTCATCTTGATCAGTTTATAGTAAATATCAACTATGTAATCTAATTGACAAAGCCATATCTCACTGTCAGCCAAATCATAAAAATGTGACTTCATTTTTTATTTAAATAAACATATTACTGTGTATCCCCGTGACAGTCATCCAACTGCTGATTTTTATTCTAAGATAAGTAAATAGACAAATGCACAGTAGAGGATTTCTAACATCTAAGTAAGACTTGCCACCTCTGCTCTTTGTTTCTGGTGCCGTCCTGATTTTATTCTCACAGGATCATCCCTCAGGACAGATGTGTTTTTGGTCAAATAAATAGAAGACAGGAGATCATACTGAAGAAGAGTTGTCATTGTTTCTGTTACATCTACAGTATATCTGGATTTACAACCTTACATGGGTCAGAGTTACCCCATATAAAACATGAAACTTCTCCTGTAACAGAAACATGTGGAAGACTGGGGAACACAGTCACACAGAGGTGTGTTGATAATGAGGCTTTGGCTGAATCAATGCCACTCCTTTTGGTCCCCTGAAGAAATGAGTGAGGCATTTCACTTTGGGCGAGAGATGTGCCCCTCCCTGTAAAGTGGAAAAAGAGCAGATGTAAAAGTGGGGTAAAAAGGAAGAAACGATGGGAGGTTTCCAGCCCAGCACAGAGAAAGTCACTCCATGAAGTAGGACAGTTTGTTCTTTGGAAGAGCACATATGGTACATGATGGCTGGAGGCCGAGTTGCACTATTAATTGTCCTTTAGAACAAATTGACAGACCAAGATCTGAAACCCTGGAAAAGACCGTTCCAATAAGTACAAAAAATGGCTACCATTAACCAGATGGTTTCTGGGCTCAGTAAATACATAATCAGTGATTTCCCTAAACAAGCATTGAAATTAACTAATCAAGCAAATAAATGACAAATGAAAAAATGGCAGATGAATTTTTGATTAGTAGTTTCTGATTAGCATACTGGACTTCCCCCAAAATGTTTTAATTAAATCACTTCCAGCTCCTTAAAGGACAAATGAGAAAGAATGCAGAGAAACACTAATTATTTAGGAAAATATAATTTAAAACTCTATCACCATAAAAAGTCCAAAGAATTCCTCAAATAATGACTGTGGTGGTCATAGCTATCATCAGTTGAGCTCTTTAAATGAGTAAGAACTTAATTTTTCCCCACTTCCCCATATTCACAGGATCTGCCCATGTTCATTTATTCACTCCTGTACCTTTTTATTAGCGCATTCTGATTCTAGGTAGTGGGGGTTCCTTGTGACATACTCACATGCACAGAACATCATTTGCTCCACTTCATCCCTCAGCTCTTTCTTCCTCTCCTGATTCTCTTCCTCTACTGTTTGTCTTCCTTCTATTTATTTATTTTTTAATTGGAGCATTATAATTATACATAAAGTAGGATTCTGATACATTAACACATGCACATAAATTTTTTTTTAAAAGAAAGCAACTAAATGTTGCTAAGTTGTCAATGTGCCTTTTTATTT